TCTAATTATGAATCAAATGAAATCTTCTGACGCAACTACAGATCAGTTAATTTAATTGGTCAATCACAGCCCGCCACAACCTTTTCCGACCCAATTGTAACCATGTAGCAGTAAGAATTAGGCGATGCACATATTTTTCACAACGCCCAAAGAAAGGTGACTAGGGTATTTTTCTCATTACAATGACAATTATGGAATTTTTTAATGCAGTGCTAATATTTCACAATCCAATTAATGTAATACGGAAATTAACATATGCAGCAAATTTAAGATCTTGTTTACCGGTCCCATTTCAGCAATTAATTAACATTTGTAGACCTAACGTTATTAATTGTTTATACGAGTGTGCAAAAACTGAATGTATAGTTATCACTCATATTTTGAAATAGTGTTAAAGTTTATAAATGAAAGTCTTTTCTTTATTACTATCGTTTCTCCATTAATCCCAAACTTTCCAAAGAACATTTGGTATATTTTTATTGTCCGCATTTTCTATTTAATTTTACTCCCTCTGATTTTAGTCTACTTTTATCATTTTTATTAGTCGTTTTTCAGAGATAAAATATTATATTTCTTTTCTTTCCAAAATAGATCTACGCAGAATTTAAATGTGAATTATTCATCAAATGAATATTTATTCAGTTGATTTTACACAATTTTATAGAGATTAAAGATAAAGCTGCAGTAAATGCGGTTATTTATTATTGACTTTCAATACGAATTCTTCGGCATTTATTACTTGCTGGCACTATTTGCCAGGTCTTCGATTATCAAGAAGGTGCACTGAGAGAAGCTTACCTTGCATTTGGACTGCGTAATATTCAGTCATAAGTCTAACAGAAAATTTCCTGTTTTAGTATATTATATTTAAAGAGTATAACACGAAGATCCGAAACGTCCAACAACATAATCAACTTATGTAATCGTTGTTATTACTAAGTCTATTATATGTATATGTTCATTTTGGTTCATTTTCCAAAAATATGTTCATTTTGGTTTGGTTTGTTTGGTTATATGGCGAAGCACGCGCAGGCTATCTGCCTAAGAGGAGGAATGCATTCGTGGAAGACTTTCTAAGGGAAACTGGCTCGTGTCCACGCTGCACATGGGAAAAACCATGAAAACGCCCATGTAACCAACCGTTAATCTGGAATCGAGCCCAGGTAAAATTAATAGTATCTAACTAACAGAGTTCAGCACCGCTGGACCCGTAGTGGTCATCATATGTTCGATAAGGTGTATTTGTTTAGACTTTAAAAATAGTACTTCACTCAGAAGTAGTTTGAGTCTGTATGATAATCTTGTGTTTGTACAAAGTTTAAATGTAAATTTGCTATTAAATACATATTTTGCTATTAAATATATATTGTATAATTCTACAGGGTTGATTAACAGGGCATTACTAAGATACTTTATTCAATAAAAATTTATTTTTTTACGATTACGAACGTATTCTTTATTGTGTTATAGTAGAATATATATTAATAGTAGTTTTTAAGAGCTGAAAATGAGTATTTTTCGCTATATCTTCGCTTTGGTTTTTGAATAACTGAATAGATTTTACATATTTCGCAATATATTTTTTATTCTTCAACAAAAATATACTGTAAATATGAAAATGCCGTAATATGATCGATATATGATTTCTAATAGTTTATAAAAGACTGAATTTGAACGTAGAGAATAAGTAATAAGAACTTTGAGAATAAGTGATATAGCTGACTGTCTGTAAGATTACGTTTTCATTAAAAATCCCTTAAAATACTTTTTCTAGTAAAGTGAAGTTAATTAATGCTTTTATGCACAAAACAAAACAATAAAAAAATTGAAACTATTTTGATAATACATATCTTGAAAAAGGCATAAAAGTTTATTTTAAAATTTTGTGTGTTAAATTGACCCAAAATAGTTTTGCATAAAATTTTACTTTTAAGAAATTTACAAATTTCAGGTTTGGGGCATGCATACTAATAAATTTAACTTTTCTGTAAATTTATACAAAGCATATATTCTCGATAACTTTTAATTAGTGTATGATATCCTAATTAAAATCTACTAGAGCCTTATTCACGGTAGTATTTACTATATTTTTCAAAATCCAGAAGGTTTGGGACAATACTTCAGAATTTTGAACTGAAAGAATTTTTAATGTCTGAGTTCTTATTATCTGAGTTTTATAGTATCAAGTTATGAGTAAAGTACATGATAATAGTAAAAATTTCAAGCAGTCATTATAGACTAGACACTACGATATTATCATACTTGAAATTATTAGAAGCTAAGTTATGTACTACAGCATACCAGGCAGTTAGTGGGCACTTGTTGGGCATATTATTACTCTAAATGTTTTCTTTCTTCAACCTATGAGCATTAAGATTGACATTCGGAGACTTAAAAAAATAATTCAAAGCTCTTTTAAAAATGAATACTATTTTTTTTTTTTTTTTTTAAAGAAAGTAGATTATGAAGAGAACGCAAGAAATCATAATGAAACCAAAAAAATTTTCTGAAAATAAACATTCGCAAAATCTTAAGGAGTTGAGGGAAAATTGATCTTTTTTCTAACAGGTGGTTCTTTTCCTTTCAAACATCAGACTCTTTCTTGAACAGCTGTAAACCAGAATGTAAAGGAATGATACACTGTACACTAGACAAAACAAACATTGTTTACATTATTGGAAACAAAACGGGACGCATACGAAAATGTTTTTGGAGGGGAGGGAACTGCAAGTTGAATTTTATTCCGATTTGGGTACGGTATGCATATTAAATTCTAAAAAGCATAATAAATTATTTAAAACAAATCTGAAAATTGATTTTTCGAATGTTGAAAACTGCTAGCTTCCACTAATAATTTTGCTTATGAAACTGAAAGTCCTTTTTTTCAAGGCTTTTGAATTACTTTGTGTAAGTTTATATATATATATATATATACTTTAATATACATATACAGGGTATCCCATAAGTCTGTAAATATTTTAAAAATTCATAAAAAATGAAGGAATTGATAGAATTGAACGCGGTTTGCGAAAAAGTTATTCTCGTGAAGAGGGATTTTGTTTGGTCATGAAAAGAAACAGTTAAAATATTCGTTGATAGAAGGCGCCGTACAAACAGAGTAATAAGAATAATGTAAATAAAAGGCCTATAAATTGCAGTTTTATGATTAACAACTCATTTCTGATTTTTACTCCTGCTTACTCGTACATTAAGTATTAATTGTAATGCTGAAATGTGTAGATGAATTTTCGTGTAGATGTGAAAAAATTTCGGGTATCATATTTCAACAGGAATATCCATTTTGATCGTTCCTGAATCCATTTGGAGGTTTTTTTGCATGGTGTCTGAAAGTATGGACAGAATGAAGGACTGTTTTTCTCAGAAAGGATTGTATAATGCATTTAAAGTGGATTCAAAAGCGACTTGTAAGATATTTAGAACCAATTTCTTAAAGACCCAAAAGAAGTGAAATTCAGTACTATTAAATTTCAAAATTCCTTGGGTGAGTTATTATAGTTAATTAATTTAGAATGGTTCATCAGCTAACTTTGGATAACAGAAATGCAGTGGTTTTCAGGAAAAAGGGATTCCATTGAATCTGATATGTACCTCCTCTTGATGACATAATATCAGATTTCATTGCATTCCTCTTCCTATGTATTTACTTTTAGTGTTATGGTGTGTGTGGAGGGCATTTTTCATTTCTTTAATTCTTCTGACTTTTGGTTAATTTTACATATTTCTAGGTTTTTGTGAAATTGGCTCTAAATTCCAAATAATCAATAAGTAATCAATAAGTAATTATTGATTAATTATTAATTTACACATTAATTTTCAGCAGCATATTGCGAGGAAATACTTGGGATAATTTTGTTTTTAAGTAACAATTTCTGACACTGTAACATATATATATATATATATATAACTAACTTTCAGTTACAGAAGTATTTAAATAAGAAAGTGTTCGTATATTGACAATGTCTGATTTAAAAAAAAATTCGGCAAATAACGAAATCTAACTTTTAATACGGTGCCGGCTCCTGTACTCATATTTGCGAAAGTCTTATACTAGTTATGAAAAAAATAATGTTAGAAGAAATTTGATTTCCATACAACAAAAACTGCCCGACATATTTAATTTCAAAATTTGCAATTTTTGATGTCATTTTCAATTTGAGAGTTCGGTTAATTATGTCGGTTAATTAAAAATGAAAGAAAATCGGTTAATTAATTTAGAATGAAGAAATAAGTTTAAAGGAACTGCAGCAAAAAATGTGTATAATTTAATTAGCCGTACGAGGAAGTCATATGGAATTCGTATCAAAAGTTTTAGTTTAGAGTCCAAAATGACATTAAGAATGGCTGGAATTTTTCATCCCAGAACTGTCTAAATAGTTTAATATACTATTTAATTTGTTATAACTGAATATGTAACCTAAAGAGAGCGCAAAGAAATTTGAACGCATAAAACTCAACGCATTCGTTGGAAATGGGCACTACCGATTGGCCACAGCCGTCACAACACCAAGAATGTCGCCTGAAGTACAACCCATGAGGCAATTGCTTTTGCATTTGGAGAATAGAAAAGTTCTGTTTTAATTTTAAGAGAATACTCTGACAGATGGATCCGAGGGTCTCCATTCCTATTTGTCTACCATCAAACCTCTCGAGAGTACATTCAGCTCGCCAGTATTTTGAATGCTCCAATGCCGGAAATACACTATATGCTTACAAACATTCAAGCCTTCTTCAGGATTCGGAACCATGCCCAACAATACGGCAACCAGCAGCACTAACTACTGTACCATCAAGGGGGCTGCTTTTTAATCATTAGATTAATTATAATTTTTGTTATATAAATGGCTACGCTTAATCTAATGCTTGCACGACATTTCATTTATTATTCTAATAAATCATGCCAGGAAAGAAATATGTATTATAAGCTCAGTTTGTTTTCAGTGAAAAATCATATTTGTAAATTTCTCATTCATTCTGTGCAGATGGTTTTGAAACAAAGGACGTTACTCTTAAATGGATTGAAGGCAACCCTATTCAAGTCAATTCCAGACTTCATGTATCTAACTACGTGCTAGAGGACTTTGTTGCAGGATATTGTGACAAACCAACAAAGCGTAAGTTTGCAATTTACTAACCTTTGTTACAAGGTCCTATATATTTATGAAACACCTACACATAAATTAATATTGATACAGTTTATGAAAATTCTGCACATAAAATAATGATTATTTTGAAAATAATAATTTACTTTGTAATGTTGCTTGCTATCATCATGTAAAATTCGTGATATTTCACCGTAATGAGTAGGTATATAACATTAGTTTTGTTCAAAAAACTAAGAATCTACCGTTAGGAATTTGTCAGTTAATAAAAATAGATTTTTTCAATTCTTTGACATCAGTTTTTTTTTAAATCTTTGACAGGAGTTTTATTGCTGATTCTATTTTTCAGTTTTATATTTGAAATTTCTGTTGCAATGAAAAATTATTATTTTTGTTTTCCTTTTTTTCTTTAAGAATTCAAACTATCTATGATAGAATATTATAGTTAATTAAGAAAACGTTCAAGTATTCATGTGCTTTCATAATCCTATATGAACACTTTAAAAAATTTAATGTATTTTTATCAAACTCATTCTTTGTAAATCTTCATTTAGCATTACAAATTCATAACTTCTTTTCTTTACAACTTTCTCTTTCATCTTCTTTATTAGTTCCTTAATATTTGCATTTTTAGGTTCAAAATATCATGGACTGCATGTTATTTGAAGTCTATTGTAACTTAAGAGGGGCTTATAGTTAGTTTAACATTTGGTAAAACTTTTTATATAAATTAAAATCCACTTGAAACTAGACAGTTAAAGTAGTAAACTAAGTCTGCTATTTTTACACAAGGGGCTAGTGAGCTTTTATCCTGTGTGCTTTATGTTTATTGCACAGTAACACTTAAAAATATTCCATTAGAAATGTATTGGTGAATTTTTAAATTAAAATGTATTTTTTATCTGTAATTCAGAATAAATTTTCTGCCTGAGGAAGTTTCACACCCTATTCGCTGTATTTTCTAATTGATGTATAAACTTAAGGGCTAAACTTGGATACTGCGAGATAAAATTTAATAAATTCTTTGACTTTAATTTATATTAAACAAAGAGATCTTTAATTTATATTATTTAATTTAAATCTCCTGCTAATAAATACTAGCATTATTAGTTTTAAAATTTTGCTATAGATTCCCCTAATAAGTTATGAAAAAGTAGTTAGAATTTTAAATAAGCCAGAGTCATCACTAATTAGAATTTCATGTTTTTCATAAAGCTAGGAATATCAGTTAATTAATAAATAAAATATCCATAATGGGGAAAACTATGAAAACAATTAACTTATATAATATGACTGAAGAATAGGAGGATCTCTTAGAATATAGCCAGATAGACATTAAATTTAAGTTTAGCAGCACGGATGAAAATAAGTGCCATGTCATCATATTTTATCTCAAATTTTAGTTTGTTCTGTAAAAGTTGAAATACCTTAGGGAGATTGTGATGTATGGGTGACACCAACCATTAAGATGTGCAGAGGGGGCTAACTCTTAATCTGAAGACGCCAAAATTTTAGTTTCCAAGAGGGAGACCGACAGAGAGGTCATAGGGAAGGCTCGTGGGAGCCATTAATGAAACCGAAATTACTTTTCAGTAATTGTATTACTTTTCAGTTATTAGTATTGCAGTTTAGTATTAGTTTTTTGTTTGTGCAATAAATGTTAAAAATACCAGAATTTGGAGTTATTTCTCTATGAGGCGGAGAATGAAGAAAGGGGTGATATTACAGAGATCAACTAAAAAATATCACACATTCGAACAAAGAGTTTAGTGACCATTCATTTCTGACTGTGGAACAATGCGTCTACCATGTTATTCAAGAGGGATCCCCCCAAAAGGACCGGTTGTAAGGATCTCTCACAATAATGTGCTCAGATCCTTGAAAAGTTTGCTTCAACCTGCAATAAAATTTCTATCATAAATAGTTGAAAATATTATTATAAATATTTTGCTTTATATGCTAATATAAGAAAGAAATTACTGAATATTAGTTTAAATATATAAGTTTTACATTTAACATGCTTGTATAGGTAAAAGAATTATTGAATGGTAGTTTAATAAAATATGTTTTATTTAATTTAAATTAAATAAACTCCGAATTTTTGTAAAATTTGCATAATTAATTTTAGTTTCATACTGTCTTGTAATAACTGGCTAATTTCTTTTACAGATGGTCATGGGTGTTTGTCAATTAAACTACTCCTGAAAAGACAGTATGGATACTATCTTACGCAGATTTTCGTTCCGTTTGTTACAATAGTGGCTGTCTCGTGGCTTTCTCTGTGGTTAGATGCACGTGCAGTGATTCTGCGTTTATCTTTAATTGTAATCCTTCTGTTTATGATGATTATGATTAATTTTGGAATGCAGCCACTGCTTCCAGCATCATCTTACACCAAGGCCATTGACATCTGGATTGCTGTCTGCATAGCATTGGTTTTTGCTACTTTTCTCCAGTTTATATTGGTCAACCAACTGGCTCGTAGAGAAAGGCGAGCACGAATATCTGAAAATCACCTTACGAAAAATGGTGTAGCTGCCTCTGGAGATATTAAGGTGAGAAGCAATGCTTAAAATATTTTCTTGAACTCTTCGTGCACACATAGATTGTTCTTTCTTTTCCTTATGAAAACATTTGCACATAATGAGCTGCTTGATTGATACTAAGTTGCAAATACACAGTGCATCTATAAAATTCTGAATTCATAAAAAATCTATGCCTGAAATGATTTGTGTGATGAATATTCTGCCCTGATCGCTACAGGCAAGAGGTTAGGGATGATGATTGTCATATCGTTGGGCCTGGGCTCGAATATGGGAAAATGCATATATGTTTATAAATGTATAACGTCTTTGCGGTATGAGCAGACTTAAAATACTGGTGAGCCGAAAGCCTATCGAGTGGTTTGGTGATACGAGAAGAGGAATGGAATACCCTCGAATCCATTTTTGGAGTGTTCTTCTTCAAAACTGGGACGGGGATGTACAGTAACTGCCTGTACAGGCAATGGTGAACTTCTGAATTTCTACTTCTTTCTGTCTGTCTTCACCTTCACAAAAAACTTACACATGAATTTATTCTTTGTCAATCAAAAACTTCATACTGTAACGTCTAGTATTCTTGGCTAGCTTAAACTGCTACTAGACCTACTTGAAAATATCTTAGCGACTGCTAAGACTAAAAGAGAAATGCAAGGGAGAAAGTGTGTAAAAAACCCTTTAATTGAATTCAAATTATTTACAGGCGGCATAGTCTTTGTGCTTACAAATCCAGCATCCACTATTGGCGATAAAACTAAAGATAATGGTAAACGAAACTAAATTTAAAGATAAGCTAGTAGTTCAAGCCTACACAAATTGGTTTAATAGTATAATAGGTTGAATCAGAAACCCACACCGTCATGTAATTAAGCTTCGGCGAGAATGGGAAACTGAAATTCAGAATTCCAACAGCTGGTAGAAACAACAACGTGCACACTCAGTAGCGAAGTACGCTGTGACTAACCTTCTCGCTGCTTCAGTTAAATACATTTTCGTTCACTTTAATTCATTAATAGCCTAGCGAGGAAACACGAGAGAAATCAGAAATGATAGGAAAGGTTGACAAATTAAAATAACTATGAGTAAAAATAATGTTAACCTCACAGTGGTTTTACTCGAAACTTCTAAAAGCCAAATTCTCTCTCTGAGACGAATTTTTTCTTATGCATACTCAGATGGTTTGCCGATTCACTTTCGTTTATAAATAAACCACCCATTTTCGTCACTAGAAAGGATTTGTTTAAAAATATGGGATAACTATCAAAGATTGCAATCAAACCTTTATTGCTTTTAATTTTTCACTCTTTTGATCGGCACCATGTATCTGAGGTGAATTGTCTTTTGCGCTTACAGAGGTGGTTTGTCGATTTGCTTTGCATTATGAACAAAACACCCCTTTTCGCCACCCGCAACGATATTTTAAAAAATCCGAGATTACTGCCAAACACATCAACCAAATCTTTGTTGCTTTACATTCTTGTTCACTTGTTCTTCACATTTGCTAGTTCGATTTTTGAATCAATATCAGATATAATGTATCAAATAGATAGAACAGCAGATTTAAATATGTTTCCCCAAAGGGGTCATATTTCAAGAGAAAGAAAGAGAGAGAGAGATGTTATGCAATATAAACTTTATATTTGAAGTTTCTTTGAACCGACTGAAACACTTCATCCTGAGACTTTGTAGACGCGCAAAGTTATATTGTTTTCTAGTATATGAAAATGATCATTTAAATCGATTAACATATGCTATCACACCTGAAACTTAAGAATGGTAGAATCTTAATTAAATGCGTTCCTTGTTTACTGATACTTATGGGAAGTATTAACCAAAAACTTAGAAACGTTTCATAATTTACATAGGTATTTGGATTTCACTTTATACCTCGTTACGAATCAGGAGAAGAATTATACGCAATTTCAAAGTGAATGTTCTGTCAGAAATGTACGCTGCGTTGCTGAACTCTAAAAGATTTTATGATCTGCCATGGTAGAAAACTGACAGCGATTAATTTTGATATATGCTATGAGTTAGTAAAAGAAACTGTCAATAAGTTTTAACATGGTGTGTTTTTTTTAGATTAATGCTTTTAAAAATAATAAGAGTTTTGGAAAAATGAGAAATCCTTCGTCTTTTCATTTCACTTGCAACTTAAAATTTCCGTTCACTTTTAAATAGGCAAGATAAGTACCTGAAGAATTATCGGTGACAAGTAGGATATATATATTTAAATGATTTCTCATCGTAATAGGATGGTGAGATGAGCTACAATTTATACATATCGAGGTACTCATTACATAGCAAATAGAAAGCTCTATTATGTTTGGTTAAATAAAGGATTTGGCTCTGAATATTGAATCTGTTTGTCTATATTCTGTAATTGATATTATAATTCGAAGTACAGGAAAACTGAGAACTGAATGAACCATAACTGATTTATTAAGCCCTAAGTTTACTGTGGAATGCAATTAGATAAGCTAAGTTTAATGTTTTACATGCGTATATAAATATATAATCACAAACTGTTTTACTGATGTACCATTCAGGATTTTATGTAATTCAAACCTAGGAGGGATTTTACACTGTCTTAGGACAGGGTTCCATCTGCTGTTTTAATTCAATTTCTCGACTCGTGATTATTATGCACTAATACCCTACCATTCTTTGGAAAACATTTCGGATAGCAATGCATCAAATTTAGTATTAATGACTAAAGATGGAATCTGAATGGTGTCAGAGAGGAACATTATGCTAACATACGCAGGCGGGGACGTTTACTATTTAGGGGTACGTTTCTATTTTCCTCTTAGCGGGTTCTGTTAATAACTGAAAAATATTTTTGTAATTTGTAAAATCAAACTCAGCTTCTTGGCAATTATTTTCTTCGAGCTACTTTTGCTGCTTAAGAAAGCTGGAAGTATTGAAATATAAGGTCCAGTTTTTCCCGTATAACATACAATTATTTTCATTTAACATTTGCTTATTTTGATAAATTCAAAATGATCCTAATGCAAAATAATAATCCAGTAAAAAGGTGAAATATGCTGGCGATTTAATGTTTTGAATTGAATAAATTGTGATATTTAAGTTTTGCTAACAGTTAACTTTATACTGATTCTTTCCTTTACGGCTCGTTTTGTCACTTACTCGTTTAGTCCAGAGGTGTTTGCTGATTTTAAGGCAAGTGCTGTGGGTTAGAATGAGGAAGAGCGTTTTAACCGGTCTGATTTTTTGCAAAAGCTTGGCTATTGCCATCCCTCCTGCTTGCCAAGAGAAAGGGAGTCGTTGTTCAGAGCAGACGTGAGTAGAAAGTTATGTATTGAAAGTTCTGTGCGCTTTGTATGTCCGACCCGGATAGTGTTGCATTTTCGCATAGAATTACTGGTGTTGAAACGCAACTTCTTGTAAAGTTCCAGCAAGCCGGAAGAGGGGGTGGGAGACCCTCTAATCGAACTCCGGAGTATTCCTTCTTAAAACTGGGGAGGAGATGTACAATAACTACGGTAAGACTGCACTTGTACAACTAATGGTGAAATTCTGGTGCTCGTCCACTTCTTCCTGTCCTGTTTTCTTTTCATGTACAACTAATTTGAGTATTATTCTCTGCCAATCAAAAATTACCATCACAATTTTCACTCGAAGCTTCTGAAAGCAAAATTCTTAGTATAAGGCGAAATTTTTCTAATGCATACAGAGATGGTTTGTCGATTTTCTTTGTGTTATGAAGCACTAATTTTCTTACTAATAAATATTTAATAAAAAGTTCGCTATTACTGACGAACATTTCAATCAAATATTTATTACTTCCATTTTTCATGCTTTGAATCAACATCAGAAACAAACAGACATAACAACAGATTTAAAAATTTTTTCATAAAGAGATGATATTTCAAGAAAAAAGCGACAGACACGTGTAATGTAAACTTTTTATTTGGCAGTTTCTTGTATCACCAGAGCTTCATAGTGCTTGATTGATATTATTTTAAATTTAAATCTTACTAGCAAGTTTTATGTTGAATTTTACCTTTTGCTTTGTATCTTGTGTCCTAAGTAAAATTTAAGGCAAGACTCGCCAATACATAGAGGTAACTTTTAAAGATCGAGCAGTTAGTCACACGTAGTTAATTAAGTGGTTAGCCAGCGCTTACTTGTAATAAACTGATGAGATCCTTAAGCAACTGTAACGATATCAGAGTATTCTATCAAAGCGTCCAATATGTTACAAATTTAGGAATAATGTCATCACAAATTTTAATTAAAACGTTATCATTTATAATGATAATTTGTTTTTTTAAATTTCCTATTTTGATTTTGACACTCAATGTCAAAATAAATGCAAACATTTTTAGTGCAGGATAGGCTAGGTTTAAAATCTCGTACTGTTTATAGAAATTTAAACTCGATAGTTTGCGAGAGGGAATACTCGAAATGTTAATGGAATATTTCGGGCAGTCGAGTGAATGGATAATATGATATTGATTTAAATAACTCCAGTTAGGAAACAGACTTTTAGAACGTTCTTTGAGGCCTGTCCTGAGAGGAGATCACTTAACAATGAATTAAATTAAAGCTGGGAAATATTTAAAGCAATGGAAAATACGATACCGTTTTAAATAAACTTTCAGTTGCAGGGAAAATGAAGAAACTATATAATTAAGTCCTTCCTGAGTGCCTGGACCTTTATGAAGCGTGTGTTTCCTGGAGTATGCAGTTCACCTTTTGTATGGTACGAAATAAACCAGTTTCTTAAAAAGTATTTTTGAGACCAAATTTGGATATCGCAGGATAATGGCTTGATACTGAAAGGCAAAATATGTTCTTCAATTAAGTTTAGAAGATCGATTTGATAACTAAATGCTGATTAATCAGTAATAATTTTTAAAGTGAAAAAATGCAAAGAATCATGATGAATTTAAGATAACGTAAAAGACGTTATCTACTTAATAAGATATCAATAAGAGAGGAATCTTCATTATCAGTTTAAAACGCTTCCATGTGCTGCGTAAACGGATTATGATTTGCAACTCATTATGCCACACTGGCTTCTCATAAATTGATTTCAAGTTACTACGCATCTGGACTATTTTGCTCAGTTATAGATTCAGTAATAATGTAATAGTAAAAAACCTTTTTGAAGTCTGTATTGTTTACAGGTCTTTTTTTATCGCAGGCAAAAATAATTTTATTTTTATATGAATCATATTGTCTAATTATTGAATATGAAGATGAATGAGTTGATTGAATAAGTTAATGTTGATTAATAATAACATTATTGAATGTTTGATATCGATTAATAACAATCATGCATTTTAGAAAGTTGTAGATTTCTATTTCATTCAAAACAATCTGATACAAAAGTTTTAATATTTTCTTCCTCAGAAGAAAAAGCAGATTGAAAGTAACACTCCTCCTCAAAAAGTAAGCAACAAAGACAAAATACGGAAGTAAAAAAAAACCTATTTAATGGATACGCATGAAATTGATCCATGAGGTTAGTGTGGCATTACTAGACCACATATTAAATAATAAAGCAAATACATTAAAAAAACACATGTATTACGACCATCACCAAATTGATCTGAAGAATGTGCAATGGAAACATCGCGCTAATAACGGGTATTATACTCTCTAGCTGAAATGCATGCATGAAAACGGCGAGGCAAGCTGGTAATAGTTTTATTGATCGCTTATTGTAGCAGTGACGCATATTCCTGTAGTACTGCATGTCGGAGATCGCGGAGGGTGCCTGGCGGCACACTGCGATTTGTTATTTGTCATCCCAACATGTATCACATATCAAAATCGTAAAAACAACCTTGTATTTAGCGTAAGTATATTGAAACACTCAATCGATTTCGAGGGCAGCTAAAGGTCCCTCGTCATCAGGAGAAAGAAATACCTAGAAAGAAGAAAAATTAAATAAAGGGGAATCTCAGAAACACGTGGTCCTTATCAGCATTGCACGTGGTTATAACCGGATTTTTGATCAGAGTTACACTATCCGCCTACTTTTACTGAGCCAGGCTATCTGATCAAACATGTAACCCAAAGGACAAGAAAATTAGCGAAGTTAAAAATAGGGAGCGAGGGGCAACTGCACCTTCACTGCACTTCGAAGTTCAGATTTTGAGCTCTGACCTACGATGGGGACAAAGGAACACAAACCACAGGTCGGGCGTATAGTGCATGCAGTCGACTCGACACAGTTTGGCGGGGTATGGGCCATCCTGCAGCAGCACAGAGGTGCGACGCCAACTGTCTTGCTCTTAGAGATCTATGGCGTCTTGCACACAGCCACAGGAAGCGATCATCTACCGCTGTGGTAATCCTCCGTCTTCCAAACCCACCTCTTCTACAGGGGTTTTCAGCCATTTGGTAACGATTACAGAGCCTATTGATGACACTAAGATGGACATTCAGCTCTCTCGCAACAGAGAATTGTCTTGCACCAGCTTGGAATATCCCGACAGCCCTCCAATGGATTTCATCGTGCAAATGGTGTCTTCGGCTCATACTTTCCGCTTTGAGTACCTCGGATTACACGGAACAATTGCTGCGTGCGAACTGACGCATTGGTCCGGCATGCTTCTTTTTAAGGCGTTGTGGTGAGATTGCGGGATTACGTTTTATGCTAATTTTCATTGACTGTTTGCATTCGGCGATGCAACCTCTACCTCCTATGTAAACTGTATATTTTAATTCCCCTTTTTTACATTCGTAACTTTTCTTTTAGCGTTTGATGCTTAATTTTGAGCACGAATGTGTATTAACTAATAATCATTTCTTGGTAACCTTAGTCTTAGAAACCAGTCTTCGACAATGCTTTTTTATTGATATAAATTATATGTTTTAATAAATGGCTCTTTTCTGTTTCAGAATATATTCAAGGTGAAAAACATTTTGGAGAAATGTGCAAATCACTGCATTCCGTTGTCGAAGAAAATAGATTTCTTAAGCCGTGTTTTATTTCCTGTCGCTTTTGTGATATTTAATTGCATATTCTGGTTTACATACATAAAAGGAAGGGACAGCAAATTTATTATCAACTGAAGTTATTTGGGAATTTTGTGATGCATTATGTTTTCAATATCTTATGCATTTCGTCATCTACTGCATGTATTGTATTTAGCACTTATTATTATTATTATTAACTTATTATAAATATGATATGAAAATATAATAAATATATTTTTAATTTTTTAAAATACATATTTTTATCACATGTAATAATTTTTATTATGCTACTGGTATGTAAAAATGTTAAAGCTATTATTTTCAGCCATGTTTTTCTTACCGTACGTACTTAAAATTTTTCATATTGTTCCAATTATATGTTTTATGATGGCAGCTGTAAAATACATAGATTTAAGTAATAATTTATTAAGTTACTTAAGAATCGCATGTACAAATTAATTTTAAAACTCTTATTACGGTTAAATGTTATTTAACTGTAATTAATAAAAAATTATTTCTATAGAGCTTCTTTGAATTTTGGCACATAAGACCAAATGGCCTAGTGAGATCCTTTGTATTTCATTTATATGAAGTCATTAGATAAAAAGTATTTTAAAATGAAAGTAGTATTTTTATCCTTCTTTCAGGTACGTTTTTAAATTTTGGTAAAAATTCAAATATTACAAATTTTTTCCTCGTATCTTCAAAATACAATTAGTTTCTAAAATAACGAGCAAATTTTATCTGCTTTCAAAATTTTATTGCTTATAATACAAAATTATGTCGTGCGTAGTTGGATAGCGAGACAGTGAAAGTTTCCATTTATATTGTGTATCTTCCATAAATCGGCGTAAGTCTTCAGTTTCATACTAAACGCACTTTACCTTCACCGCAGTTTTGGAATACATTGCTGGGATAATTGTTTGTCAGACTTTTTGTAATCTGGTAGGGAGCATCTACATGATTTCTTTTACAAAACCCTCGAGAAGAAAATTACAAAGGGTCGGGTTTGGATCCTGGGAGTCCATGAGCGCAGTAAGACACCTTTTCATAATCCTTTCATCATCCTGACATAATCCTTTTCCTTATCAGGTGATATATGATCCAGTTTTGAAACTAAGTAAAATCTGCTGCTTTTTTTTTGAAACACTCTTTAATTAACTCTAATTGAAGACAGTTAAATTACATGATTACAAATTGTAACAAGTGCTTTAGAAAAAAAACCGTAAATTGGTATTTTCTTATCAAGATTATCATAAAAGTTTAAAATTTATTTGGTCTTAGAGGCATAACAATGATTTGCCTTTGAGTTGAAAGTATTTTAGTCTAAATTATAGGGAAGCTATAGAATTTGCTAACAATAAATAATAGGATCTCATCTCAAGCTTGTCAGGTCCTAGGTACATACTGCACCTGCCGCTTATAAAAATCACTTCCGTTTTCAAAGTACTTGAATTTACGAAGCGGCTGAGTTTAACAGAGGTTGATTTCAATATTACAAACTAACCTCTCAGTTTTACGCTTTTCAAGTAAAATAATAGCTAACAAATACTTCTGTCCGAAAATAATAATTAAAAATTAAAACTAAAATAAAAATGTTTTCTCAATTTCTTATAAAATATTTTTATAATTATATTCTTGATGAAATTTATCTCTTCCTGACTGACTATATTATGCATGTCCTCTAGCAGAGATATCGACTTACTCATCTCCTTTGAAGTGCTTGCATTTTCACAAAATTCAACTTTATTCAGTTTACTGAAAATCTTTCTGTATTGACATTTGAAAGCTTTTATAATACCCTAAAATAGCAGACTGAATGTTAAAAGTTTTATGTGCAAGAAGAGAAACTTATGATTTTCAGAAAAAGGTCAAAGGTATGTGTGTTGCACAGTTTTCTGATGAGTAAATCATCTTTTTCATTTTTCTGTTCACTAAAAATCAATAAAAATACTATATGTCATCCTTGAGTTCTCGTTGTTATGATAAGTTAGAAGTAAATTCTTGACTCCTCGCAAACATCGGGCCCACCAGCGACCGAATGGTGAAGTCGCTGAACACTGGTACTTTGTCCCGGTTTTTGAACGGGCAGGCTGCATGGGCGTTTTCATAGTTTTCTCTATGTGAACGTGCATGCGAGTCTGTTTCCCTTAGAAAGTCCCCCATGAAAGCATCTCTCTATTTAGGCAAATAGCTGTCGAGTGCTTTGCCAGAACCAAACCAAACCAAACCTTTCAAATATCGATATTTTCTGCTTTTTTCAATAACCAGAGCTGTCTTCTTAATTACTGGATTCATATTGCACATTAATATTACCAATTTATTACTTCAGATTCTTAAACTAACCGCTGTTTCACTTTTAAATATTAATGTATGTTCTAGTAATATTCTGTGACGCAGTCCAGCTTTGGCTGTATTGTACGTTTTATATGGCTTGTATCCATTTAGCATCCTTAGTAAAACGTCTTGTATTCAATTTGAGTTAAAAATAACACACCGAATAACGATTATTATAACGATAGTTAAAGCAAGAAACGATAGTTAACTAAGAAACGATAGTTTATAACGATAGTTAAAGTAAGAAAATTCAGCGTAAGGTTCATGTATTTGAAAACTAGTTTCGAAGGTTTAAATAAAGGCACGTTCTTCAGCTTCAGAAATGCAAATGAATGAAGAATGGGAAGAACGAAGTCAAGATACTGGCGCCCTCTATTAATGAAAAATGAAAACAGCTTTGAAATAATTTCCTGAAAAGTTGAGATTAAAGATAAATTGAAACTGGGTCGTTAACTAGAACTGGAAGATTTTAACAACCGATCTCCCTCACGGAGCAAAATGGCACCAACATTGATAGGGAGACTCTAGTAAAATGTAGTCCCTTCTCACCAGAAAAAAGGCTGATTCTCTTTGTTCACCCTTCCCGAGAGTGAAAGATATCGCTCGATATTCGCACACACAATAAAAGGAGTTTACAGTAGTCACAGCAGAGCCACCAAATATGAAACTACTGAATATTTATTGAGTAATAATTAAGCTGTTTAATGAATGATCAATATTAAAATGTATCTCATAAATTTCCAAAATTTCATTATCTTTGCACAAAATTTGATTTGAGAAATAAAAAATGTTTAGTTTCATAAAAAGCAATTAAAAAAATTACTTTCAATGAGTACATAAATATGATAAATTTTATATACATATTTTAGTTAAAAAATAAATTATCTTCATGCGTACATGTAAATTGCAAGCAAAAATTCCCATTACATAACTACGTTTTCAAAAGAAATTTATTAATAACATTAAAAACAAAATTACGGTCATGAAAATTTTAATGTGTGTTAAAACACTTGATCATATATATATGTCTTAGGAAACCTGCATCATAACTTGCTGGATTTAATTTCTTAAAAATGCTGTTTAGGCATGAATACTGCAATTTTCAAATTACTGTTAAATTACGCCACGTATATTTGATTGCTGTTTCCAACTAAAAATAACGAGGAAATAATTATTCTCCTTAGGATATTTTCTCTCGGAATTTCAGCAGTATTCTGTTTTACTTTCAAAATTTTTTAAACCTTAAAATACATACTTAAGCCATTGGCATTGCAGATAAGAAGGTCTTATGTAATCTTCAAAAGTATATATTCAAATATTATAGCGTTGCATGATTTACACTATGCCAATTTGCACTGTGAGGTTTTGTCCTTTTTATAGAATCAATGAAATTTCTATCCTGAGTTATCAGTTTGCAGTTCTAATGCATGTGTGTATTCATTATGTTATATGACATTTATAACCTTAAGAATTAATGCTTCTTACAAATTCAAAAGCTGTTTGATGATAATGTAATTGAAGAAATGCAGTAATACTTTCTCAGTATGCTTAAAACAATGTTATGTTCGCTAATAGAACAGATGGCACTTGGAAAACAGGATAATTTTCACTCAAAAGTTCAGCAGTATTCAGTTTCATTTAAAATTAATTAAAAAAAACCCTTAAAAATATAATAATACCTTAATCTTTTCTTACTGAAGATACGAAAGCATTATGTAATGCGTTCCAATGTATATGTGGTAACCGGCAGTAGGTTACGCTGATGACTCCATATAAGGATTAGTAACCGACTAAGTTGCTATTTTGTTTAGTACATTTGTTAAAGTTTCGTAATACCTACTGTATTTTTGAACCAAAATATGTTTATTACAAATTTATGAGAATCTCCATTACAAACAAAATATAATAACATGTAAAGCATAGAACAATTATTGTAGGTAAAGTTGTCCTCGTTATGTGAGGATCTTTCTAAGGGCTAGTCTCTTTAGTCGAGAGTTCCAGAGTATTCTGGTATGTTGTTCCGCTGGAAACAATCTGTAGACTAAATTAGTCACACCTCCATATTTTTTAGTTATATTTTACATCCTCTGATTCGTTATATCAGAGGAAAAACAAGATCATTGGTTCGTCAGCCTTTCTGAAATCGAGAGACACGGTGCAGACAGACGCTTTGAAGACAGACGCAGTGCAGAACGCTAAAATTGCTTGACACTGGGCATGAATTTATGTCTCTTGCACTGTCAACCGAAACGAATTATTGCGTCTGCGACGTCAGACCAAAAACTTGAAAACAGTGACTTATGGGGGACTGCACATACAATTTTCTCATCTCTATGTGGTTCACCGCATATGTATCTATATATTACAAACTATATATGTTCAAATATGATAGCATTCCATGATTTATACCGTGCAAATTCACATTTTTACCGCCCTTCAGGTTAGAATCAATACAATTATTTTCAGTTTCCAGTTTGAATACATTTACAAGGTGATTTGCTTAAGTACGTAAAACATCAGAGAAGGGTAGGTTACCCAAAGACAGTTTGGAATAAATAGCAATGTAGGAGTTTAAATGCGAACCTCATGTACTTTTGTGCAGAGAAGAAAACACAAGAAATGAAAAAGACATTGATGTGAATAATAATATTTTTAATCAACAAATCGTTACGGTTGCAAAAGTCAGAGGTCACAGTAAGTATTCGAAGTTACAAGGCCACCAGCTACAAGCGTTAAACAGGCACAGCAAAGAATCACGGACTTCTTGAAATTTAACGGAAGTCTCACGGATGACCGCGCTAGTTAATCTAATGTACTCACAAGATCCTTCTGACAGGCTATGGGTATTTCATACTTGGTTTTTCATGCACCATCAGATAAAGAAGTTTAGACAGGATAGGTTTGAGGAACATGCAGGCGAATGTACAGGACCATCATGACCAATTCAAGTTTGACCAAATGTTGAATTCAAGTGTTGCCGAATGGAAGGAATAAAATGGGCTGGGGTGCCATCATGCTGGAACCACATACCCTTGCACCACAGTTGTTGGATGCTTTGGTCATCTACCAATCCGGGCAAGACTTCCTCCAAGAAATTTTATAAGACCGTCCGTCGAGATGAATAGGCATGGGATATGAGCCTATTAGGTGGTCGTAACGATGCCCGTCCAAATACTGATGGAAAATTGGTGTTTTGCTGAACGTGATCGGGTACCCCAGGGTTGCTCATACATGTGTATTATGTGCATAGTAGCAGGTTTCTATGTTAAAATATGTCTCATTGTTA